CCGCTGCATTTTGCTATGTGAAAAGGAGGAATTCAGCCACTGTATCCAACAATTTAAAAACATCTGAAATGCAGAATATTTTAAATGTACCAGTTCAAGCAAAATATTTCTTTCCAATGGTCAATGTGAAGGTGAGCTAGACTTTTCTTCCAGATGTTATAGGTCTGCTAAGCAGACGAAAAGTAAGCCTGACAGATAGTTCTAAACATTGTAGCACCTCACGCCTGTATGAATTTACTAATTTTATATTAGTATATCTCTAGCAACTGAAAAAAAAAATAAAAAAGTTACTCCTGGGTTTTTCAGCATAACAGCAATTCAGATTAATTTCTGAAGACACAGGACACATCTGATCAGTCCATATAATCCTTCTTTCAAATAGTTCTTTAGCAGCCATTGAGGCTATTTATCCAAAACTGCAATCAAAAACTTAAATAGTACAAATATTATGGTTAACTGAAACGTGAGGAATATTTGCTTCCATGTAAACGCGTGGTTAATCTTTCCTCTAATATCTGCAATATCTGATATTTTTTGTCTTGCAGGTTTCTCCAGTACCTCCCCCGGAAAAGAGTCTTCCACTTTTCTGAAGGGATATTGACATAAGTTAATTGTAAAAGAAAAGCTTCTGCAAGACAGATGACTAAAGGTAACGGAGAAGATCCAAAACCTGGAAGTAGGATGGAGCGCATTCAACAAGGAGTCCGGAAACGTACACTTTTGGCAAAAAAAAAAGTGCAGAGCATAACAAAGGATGATGTTAAAAGTTATTTATTGAGGAACGCCTTTGTGCTCTTCACCGTTGTTGCTGTGATTCTCGGTGAGTAATTTGTTCAACAGGAATATTCTGTTCTCCAGTGCATTTTACAATGACGATTTGCCTGGGTGATTTGCATTACAAATGAGATCCCGAATTCTTCTGCACTGATAAGAATGTTCTGGCTTGGAGTGTTTTGGCTTTGACAGCTGCATGTTGAAGTTTAGGGAAGAGGTATTTTAATTGTTCTAGTATTCCTAAGGAGAAATTTGGTGAAAAAAATCAGCTGTTTTATGGATTCTTCTCTTAAAGAATCAGACACAATAACTGAATTGAATGTTTTCAATGAAATATTTTTCTACCAAAACCAGCTGCAGCAAAATGCTTAGGATGTAACTTTTATTTATGTAATATATCAAAAAATTACTCCTTGCAATGACAAACATAAATCCTCAAGGAAAGAAATGGAGTGACATTTCTAAGCAAAGGTATATATTAGAGCCTCAATCTTTCCAGTTTTCCCTTGATAACTGCAAAACAATCAAACTTAAGTGCAAGCTTATGCTCTTCCAGTCACTCACAATCTTACACATGCATCTTTCAGATGCAATTGTGGCAACAATGGCAATGATACTTATTCAAAGGACTGCAAGATAGCACCTGATTAAATGCCTTTTTAGAGTGTATGGAGAGGAATCCAGAACATCAAACAACGTTTAGTTTTGGAATGCACCAAAACGTCCATTTAAAATTTACTGTTGCTTCATGTTTTGAATTTACATTAGAGAGAGAATTTCCTGAGAAAAACAATTTAAAACAAATTTTTCTTCATATAATTACATTATCACTTTTTGCAATTTTCCTTTAACTACTGATTTTCTAAATGACACCAAATGTTTCAGGAAACATTCTTATAGTGTGAGCAAGAATATTATGGCTCTATAGTATGACTCTCATTTTTATTTTCTAATTAGTTTAAAATCCTAAACTGTTAATCTGCTCATGAAAACCCAAATGTTAGCACTTAAAGGGTATAGATATCCTACACAAATGTAGGCCCTAATGTCCTTGATAATGTTGTTTCATATAATTCTGCTTGCTATGTTTCTACAACTTGTTTAGGAATTAAAATTTTAGGGCTTTACCATTTGTTGCTTGATACTACATCTGCAGGGTTATTTTATATCAGTTTCAGGTCTGATGGTCTTTTTCTGGGAGACAACTATATTACTTTGCATACTGGTAAAATAAAGTACTTTGTTGCTATAACAGAAATTTCAGTCTGTCATATTTATCAACAGTATTTGATCACAACTGCTTTTATTTCCTAAGTAAGAATCTGTTCAATGCAAAAAAACTCCATTAATATCAGGGGTAAAATATTTAGGTATTTTATCTACAACTGGCACACAAGGCAGAAAAAATTAAGCAGGTATTGAAACACTGTCCAACCTCAAAGGATTTCAATTCTTTGATTGTCACCTGTCTATACTGCACAAGACCACGAGCTTTTGCAATTTTTTCACTGTCAACTAGCTCCAGCGTGGCTCTCATAAATCTGGCAATATGGGAACAGAAATGTAGGCTGGACAAGTTTTTTTACTGTTATTGTATGTTCCTATTAACTTTAGATGACTAGTGACAAATGTCTGCCCACAGCTCCACTACCACCTACAGCAACAGCATAGTGCCAGCAAGGCTGGAACACAAGTTGGGGAACTAATGGAAATGTGCAGCATGGGATGTGCTGGCTGCTCCAAATCTGTTCATGAACATACAGACGTATCTGGTGTAATATGTGGGAAAAGATCTTATCATTACTATGATGGAATACTCAAAAATCTTCTCATGTTTGTCCTTCGTGGTGTAATTTTACAGTATATATATGATTAGATTGGTAAGTTTGCATCTGATAGTTCATAAGAAGGTAAGATTTGGGGGTTTTTCAGAGAGTTTTTTGCCACTGTGAAAGTATTCAGAAGTAGGGAACAGTTGGCTGAAGGGTTTGGAACACACTCAGTGGTTGAACTCCATCTGTCTAGTTTGGCAAGGACTAAATTGTTATCATCTTTCAGTTGTTTGGTGATCTGTGGAAAATCAGATGGTGGGCTTGATCCTTTTCCTAGCAGACAGTAATCAACATTACAAAATTAACCCAAATTAACCTCATCAGAGATGCCTAGATGTGAATGCAAGTGGAAACCAAACTATACTCAGACCAGGGTTGAATAATTTACAAGAAATTATGCTTAATGCACTCTGCAATCTAAACAGACAGATGACATCAATTTTCAGTCAGTTCAGCAATTTCCATAAAGACTAAACTCAGGAAAAGTAAAATTTTAGCTTAAAGAGAGCAATATTTCTTCAGAAACATTTATTTCAGGCCTCTTTTGTCAAGGAACTGAGACGAAGAAACCTATTTAATACAGCATGTCCGATTTCTTTGCTGAGCAGGATTGGTAGTGGTAGAGGTTAAGTGGATAGAACCATATGTCTTAGCCCAGTTTCAGGACTGTAGTTTATAATGGGCACTTGAGTTTGTGTCTGTGGAAACATGCACTTTGTTATGAAGCGGGTAGCTGCAACATGCACTTGCTTGTGTCGCATACTGGTAGAGTAGAGATTTTCTGGCATTCCCATGATAAGGACAAATACAGCCATTTGTCCCAACTTCTGTGGTTGCTCTGATTCTGAACTGGATTCCAAACTGAATTCACTAGCTGCTACAATACAAAACCAATTAATCTTTAAAAATCTAATTATGAAGATGTGAGAAGTTATGCTTCATGTTGAGAATTACTTAGCACTATTCTACATTTTTCAGAAACCTCACAAAAGGTCCTTCTGACTTCACATTCTGCATAGGTAGAGTCTGTCTTGCCCATCATCATTACCATCATTGTTGCTATTTTCAGTGAAATTTGAACTGCTTTCAAACCCTTTGAAAAACTTTGAGAATAGCATGGTTAGTAAGTGAGTAATGACGCCATTTTTCAGATTCTTCTTTTCAGACTTCTTCTTTCTTCAGTTTCTTTCTTCTGTTGGTACACCTAGAAATATTAAATTAGTTTTCTGCAGTGGATCTTGGCAAGAGCCAATAGATGAGAACAATTATGTGAGGTGAACTTGGAGAGCTGTCCACTGGCAAATTCAGAGTGTCACAATGACCAGGAGCAATTTAAGGTAGGCTAGGGGTCATGGTGGGTCATGGAAAATCTGCAGGAAGTCTTAGAAACTTTGAAGTACTAGCCAAATTACTGGCAAAATCTCAGGCAGTGCCCTCTCTCCCACGCTACTTAGCTCCATCATTCTGTCCTCAAAATGCCTTCCTTTCAGATACCCTTCCTTCAGCAGACTGTCTTGATTCTCTGCTACTTACCTCCCATTTTCCAAAAATGCCACAGGAGCCCAGACTCTGGCAGGACTCCTAAATGCCAAAGAATCTCCTGTGGATTCTGAACTTGTATGGAAGGAAAGATTGAGACACATAGAGCTGCTGAGCAGAGATCCTGAGAAGCTGTTCACAGAGAAATACTGTTTTAATTGAGGGGCTCAGTGAAGTAGAGGGGGTAGGTTGTGGAGCAAGTGCTGTAAAAAGCAGTTTCTGCATAGTGATGAATCCAATATAGCTCAAAAGTGCTAGCTGAAATCCCCTTCACACTGCCGAAGTTGTGTGCTGTAGCTGTCCACTGGGACAATGTCTCAAGAGAGACAGAGGTGGATGCAGTTCTGTGTTCTGGCTACCTGTCCATCAAAGGGAGTGCAGGACTGTCAGCATCATTAAACACAGTCTTCTGTAATTGTCGGCAATCTCACAATAGATGTGGAAAGTAGACCCATACAATATGTGTTCTATGACACCTTGCACGATATATAAGGTTCCAAACATTTCCAACATCTTTATTTCAAAAAGTAGTTAAAAGTACAGGAAGAAGACAGGAGAGATGAAGGCATTGCCAATGTCTCTGTCCCTGAAAGAAGCAGAGATAAATAAAGCCTGCAGATGATCCTTCATAATACAGAAGGCAAAAATCCCACAAAACCCCTAAAATATCTGAAGAGTGAAATCAGATTCTCCAGTCTCAACACACTCGTGGTCTGACCAATAGTCTGAAGTGAGTCCTAGAAGGTACAAGTCTGTCATTCACACAGGTAGACAGAATCCTGGATAACACCCACAAAAAAGACAGTCTCCTGTGTGTTTAAGTGACATCTTTCCTGCTACTGGCAGATCCTCTGTATCCACTTAAGTCTGAGGTTAACATAGGCAGGGAAGGGTATTTGACCCCACTACACATTGACAATGAACATGATGACGGTGCCTAAGGCAGCCTCAGTAAAATTTGCATGAGAACAAAGCAAAGACCCATCACTACAGGAGAAACAGCTGCGGGAGGTCAGTCCTAGGTGAGAGAATATTATAAATTATAATCAGAGGAATGTGATACCATACAAAATATTAAGATATATGTAAGAAAATCAAGTCAGCTTGGGGACAGCTAAGGAGAAATTAATTCTATTTATGCTAAACTCAGAGGCTGCCTCTGTCTCAGTGCTCTCCAAAAGAACCTGCCCAGCACAATTGCTTTCTCACTGACTGACAAAACCTTCCCAAGTAATCTTCTGAAAATAATGCTACGCAAAGACTTATCTCTTTTTGAAGTTAAGAAGTTGTTATAATTTGGGGGAAAAAAAACATAAACAAACACCTTAAGGTGCAGAGTAACACCTAATTCAAAGAAGAGGTCCCTTTTCAAAAAGGAAAAAAAAGTCTAGAAATAAAAAGAACTTTAATTCTGTTATTAAGTAGCCAGTAATAAAAACTAGACTGCAAAACATGGTCAGCATGCTTGCTTAGCAGTTACTTGCAAAATAAAACTATATTAATTTATTATCTTACTGTACACTCTGGTGTTGCTGAAATGAAACAGCACTGGTTGTTGGACATGGCACAGAGTAACAACAGTAAATTTGGCTACTTTGTGAATCACAACTGTGCATTCTGGAGACAGCAGCTATGTATATATGCACAGTAAAGACTTAGAATGTGCTTAGACTTA